CTTAATTGATATTTGTGTTTGTTTTGTAATTGATATGATTAATTTATTTATCAATGTTATCCAAGTGGGAGAATGTTGTATTTATATAATTTATTATATATATATATATATATAAATTATTATTCTCTATTTGTTATGGATTAACATTAATCAATAAATTAATTTATTTGTAATTATCAATTATATTACACATCATCATTTATGTAAATAATAATTTAATTTGGGTTTACGATGAACGGTCAGTGATGGGTTGGATCGTTCAGAATCGATTACTTATTGAGAGATCCTGGTCTCTGCTGATAGGTGGATAAAAGCTGATACCCCATTAGTCAGTTTAACGTGTGACAATATAATCACTTTAGATACTACGTTCAAAGCACCCTATCGAAAGAGAGCAACATTCTCTCATAAGCATTCAATGGATTCTTCAACAATTCCAGGTACACAATTTTGAATATATTATATTTATTGTATCTAATATTATTATGTATTTTAAACAGTGAATTGTTATCTTGTCCCTACACGGTTAGGAAAAGAGAAGTTGCAGAGACATGATTTCATGGGCAGAGATGATATCCTTCGTCCATGGAAAAAAGAAAGAATAAAGAAAGAGTTTGAGTTTGTTGCCACATTTCAAAGGTGGTGTAAAGCTTTTAGCAAAAGACAACAACACGGGAATAGATCAAAACATTACCCTCTTTCTTTTACATCTTTTTACTTTATTCTCAAAACCTACCAAAAGCTTTAACTCACATCACTCATCCCTATCAATCACCCTTCAATTATTGGGTTTATAATGTCATATATATATATAATTTTATCCCTGGAAAATAATGGGTGAAAGAACAATAAATCGCTGGAAATCAACATCAATTAGAAAAGTATCCATAAATTTGGATGTCTCAACGGTGGATAGGAAAAATTTATGAATGCCAATATTCTATTTTCTATTTTCAATTTTCTTGTTTTTATAATACTTTTTTGTTTTTAAATAAGTATTATTTTGTTAAGGATTTTTTAAAATATTTATTAAAAATACGTTAATTATCTTTCTATGAATTATATTTTTTATTTTAATTCTATTTATTAAAGGAAAAAGATAATAAATGATTAAAATTTATTTTTATGAAATAAATATATTAGATGATATATATGTATATATATAATTGTTTTCTAAATCAATGCTAACCATACATATTTAGAAATAGAAAAAAAAATATTTAATCATATGATATAGCCGCCATTTCTAATAACGGTGAATTTGTAATAAATAATTATAAGAAAATAAAATAAATATAACATTTTTATAAATTACAAATTAATGTAAATTTTTATACAAAATTAACAAAGACAAATTTTATAAAATTTGAAGTTTATATATAATTATGAGAAAAATACAAAAAATAATATATTGATCTATAAATAAATATTTATTCAGCCCCTGGTTAATAACATGTTAAGATATATAATTATTTATTAATAACAACAAGTTTATATTTTAAAAATATATTTTCAATGCCATTCTCCAATTAAACTTATAGTTTTGTATAGAAAATTGTATTATTCTATTAACGTAATTATTCTAAAAACTTAAAATTTATTATACGATAATAAATTATCATTAGATCACAAGTTGAAAAGATATTACATTATAAATACTGGGTATCTTACATGTTTTTGGGACAAATCATGTAGTTAGTAATTCATATTGGATTATAGCACACATAAAAACTCATTAGATGAGTAAGAGAATCTCTAATAGAAAATATTCACACGGGTTTTGTTACAAAATATTAATTGTAATATTTATTTTGTAATATCATCACTAAACTCATACTTAATTTTGTTCAATTCAATAAATTCTAGCGAACTTTAAATAACTCGCAATTTTATATTTTTTAATTTAGATTTATTATATATTTGAAGGAAAAAAAAACACTTATAAAAACAATTCATTTTTTAAGTAACTCTAAGTATTATGTCATAATTATAACAATTTAGTAAATTGTTTATGTTAGAAATATTCTAATAATCACAATATTATGAACGAGATTAACATGTAGTGCAATAATGGTTCAATTATTGATTTTGATTTAATTAATGGTTTCGTGGTTCTCATTAATAACCAAACATTGACAATATCCACGTTTTTTTTAGATATATAAAAAAAGATTATTATTATTATTCATTTATTCATTTTCAAATTCAGTTAATAGTCAAATCTTCCAATAATTATCTAAAAACATATTTATCATGAATTCTAATTGTATATAATCAAATTATATCTATTAATATCCTTGAATTATTTTAATTCTAGTTCAAAGCTTTAAAAAATAAAAATAATTATTAACGATGATAAATCTCATATTCTTTAACAGTTAAAATGATATATATATATATATATATATATATATATATATATATATATATATATATATATATTCACAAAAATATTTTTCAAAAATAAATGATGACAAATTAAATTTTAAAACGAACAACGTTCCAGATAATCGAGATTAATAATAATATTATAATAAATATGAGAACGCTTAATAATCACCAATAACGAAGAGTTAATATTTCAATCTACAGTATTTAAACATGGTTAATTTCTTGTTTAATTCATCAACATTTTTATGTGTTAAATTAAACCCACTTTTCAATGTATCTGGTTCGAGATTTCTATGGAAGATACCATAGTTCCTTAAAAATATAATTCATTTTTTTATATATTAAAAAATGTGACGTAAAAGAAGAAAAAATAAATACACTAAAAACAAAAATATAAGACAATAATTATATCTTTAGTCTTTTCAGTCCAAATTGTGTATGTGTTTTGCCCTTATCGTTTTTTAGCTAATTAATTTCCTTTATTTTTAAAATTAAACAAACTATTCTTTTTGTCATTTTTTTTTCATTTAAACTCAATTTATTTTTTTACGTTGAAGATTTAGAATGGGATTTGAAGTGTAAAGTTAGTTTTTTATGTTTAAAACAAATTTAATAGAAACTAATTAAAATTGAAAGGATTTTAAGATGTAACATTAATATTTTGATTTTGTGAGTCAGTTTCTAGATTTTTTTTATTAATATTAGCAAGGAGATATATTTAATTTTAAAAAATTAATTGATTAAAAAAAAGACGGAGAGAATAAAATCACAATCACATCAAAGAGATTAAAAATACAATTAAATCATTATCAATGGCTTTCTTCTCTAATCAAAGAATCTTATCCAAACACTACCATCCTACCTAGAAATTTCACATAAATCCATTTTTCTATAAAATAAAAAATGTTTTAAGTATTTATACATTATAATAATAATATTATTATTATAATTATTATGATGGAGTATTGCTTAAATTAGGAAACTAATTTTTCACGTTACGCCAAGGACATTCTCGATTCTTCGTGTTCGTGTACATCAAGTTTTGACAACAATGTTTTTTTTTCTATTTCCTTTTTACTCATCTATTTATCATTTTCTTTTCTTGAAATAAATAAAATTTACAATCCAATCCAAATTTTAATTCAAAAAAGGGCATTAAAGTTCTTTGCTTTTTAGTTTTTTTTTGTCCACTAAAATAATTTGTCAAGCATTGGTTCCTCCATCAAATAGCAAATTTAATTTCACAGACAAATAGTTTAAAGCAGAAAGTGCATTAAATGCTAAAAATGTCTTTATTTTTATTTTTATATTTTTCGTGATGACATTCTTCAATCAATCAAAAAATTAGGAGAAAAAATTATTTTTCCTTTTTTTATATATTTTTATTTACTCATTTCAAACTGGTTTCACATATTGTTTTACTCATTTTTTTCATCTTTATTATACTACAAGTTCGTCTAGACAAGTTCATTATTATTTTTTTTCATAAATTAAAATTAGTTTATATATTTTATCTATTTTTTAATTTGTGTATAAACTATTTTATGTTTTATAATATATATATTTTTTAATTTTGGTGGGAAAGAAAGAAGAATAAAAAGGAAAGAAAAATGATAGTTTGTGTATGTGTTTATTGTCATTTTCAGGAACAGATAGAGTTGGTTGTAGATCCTGTCGTTCTTTGTTTTTTGTGTATGCAAAATCATTTTCTTACTTCCTATTTCAGCTTCCAATCATTGGCCAAAATAACAAGAATATTATCATAACTCACTTAGGTTTTATCGAAGAAGGGGTAAAAAAATTCTTTTTCCTTGTATAATAATAATAACCATGATATTTCAAAACATTTGTTACAATATTTTTTATTATTGAAAATTAGAACACATTAGTAAAGTTTAATATATAAGAAGTGAGATTAGTATAACTTTGTAATATTTTATTAATTTTAGTTAATAATAAATATATTTTTAAAGGAGGAAAGAGATTTCATTAAATTCGACTAATAATACTTTTAAAATTTTTCAATTTATGAAAAAATTAATAAAATTTTAGTAAGTAAAACATAATTGAAGAGATAAGATGAGTTTGGCATGTTGAAGGTGAAGAAGAAATAGTAGTGTTGAAAGTGAGATTGAAAAGGCAGAAAGTTATGAAAATTAGACGAGAGTTGCAATAAAAAGAGAAAGACAAAGTCCAAATAATGAGGATGGTTATGAAAAAGATATTATAATCCGAAACCATATAATAATTTATCTTGCAAAAAGGTGCAACAGAGAGAATGCGTTTTGAGGAGTTTCTGATATTCTAAAATAAAAAGAAGTGGTGAGTGAGCTAAGCTATGGTAACCGTTCCTCTGCATTTCCTCTCCACTGACACCACACACCACACACACCACAAACCCTTCCTCTCCAAGCTACACAAACACAACAATCCTCTCCAAACCTCACTTCTCTTTTTGACTCCATTCACTTTCTCCCATCTCCTTCAATGCCAACAAATTCTCATCCCCAAAACACCCATTGCTAAAAACAATTCCCCATCTTTTTCACTTTCCCCTCCCAATATAATCCCCCACACCACACTCCCCAAGTTCCTACCTTCAAACCCAAATGTCTAACTTGGAGCTGTTCCACACCAAACACTTCCTCTCCTACCTCACTCTCTTCTTCCCAAGCTCTAACTCACAAACCCAAATGCCTAAATCAGATGAATTCCACACCTTTCACCTCACTCTCTACACATTCATCTCCCTCTTGTTGTTCCATGTTTCCACAGCACAAGCACAATCCTCCATGGAGCCTGTGCCCACATACATCACCCACCACAGCTGGGAGCCCTCGGTGGCCATCACAGTTGGAGCCATCATCTTTGCTCTTCTTGTGATGGGCATCATCTCCATCTACCTCCGTAGGTGTGCTGAGTCACGCATCATCATCACCACGCAGACCACCACCCCAGTCCCCTGCTCCTGCGCACAGGGGATCAACAGAGAACTCCTGAATACCTTCCCCACCCTCTTCTACTCCAACATCAAGGACCTCAAAAAGGGTGAAGAAACGCTCGAATGTGCTGTGTGCTTGACGGATTTCTCAGAGAAAGACGCCCTCAGACTCCTCCCCAAATGCAACCACGTGTTTCACCCTCACTGCATTGATTCCTGGCTCGCTTCCCACGTGACATGCCCCGTTTGCCGCGCGAATCTAAGCCAGGATTCGTGCCAGGTTGCCATAACAGTCCCTACCCTTCATGATGAGGAAGTTTCCCGAAGTGAAGAAACCATGGCAGAACCAAATCAAAACACAAACATGAACCATGCCATGAATCAGGTTTGTGTTGGAACTCCTACATTGACCAATGATACAGCCAAAACAGTGTATATAAGTGAAGAACAGTCTTCATCTCCTGATCTTCCTTCTGAGTTAGACACAAACTCAAATTCTGTCACTAGTGATTTGGTGGTTGTTGCTGCTGAGAGGAACCTTTCAAGGTCAAACTCTACAGGGCATTCTCTTGTGGGTGTGGAGAGGTACACCTTGAGGTTACCCGAAGACGTGAGGAGGTACATTCTGGTGAACCATGGAAGGAGTGTTCAACGTTCTGCCAGTGTTAAGGGTACGTGTTGGAGTGATAGCGAGGAGAGTTATGCGGAAAAGAGGGTGGAGAAGAGGTGGGTGATTTGTACGCCACCGTTTGTGGCGCGCCATACCTGAGGGGTTTCGTCAAACACTTGGTGTGCGTTGCGCTTGCCTTCTAACTAAGTCCTTTAACGAGAGGAAGTGAAGATTCCTTATGTGTGGGTTGCTTCGATAAATGGGTCGCTGTTAATTCTCGCAACGATCATGAGAATTCGGTATTACAGAGATGAAGCAGAGCATGGAAATGGAAGAAGAGTAGAGTTCTCGATGATTGAGTCAACTCGTTATGTGTATTATTTTGGCTTATGAGTCAACTCGTTTTCTTTCTTTTCTTTTCTTTTTTGTTTATTTTTTTTTATAAGAGAGAGTGAGATGAGTGGTTCCTTCTCTAGCACATTATTATGTTATTTATTTTATTTTATTCATTTATAATAATATACCTAGTATTGTTAGTCGCAATTATTTTCATATCATCTTGTCTATTAAAGATTTATATAATTTAAGGTCACTTTGTTTTGTCGGACTTTGTAAATCGTTGAATCTGATCTTAATTTATTTTATTATTTACACAGCTTGCTGTGTGCCTACTTTCCCCTTTCATAATAAAAACAATTGATACACTTTTACTTGGGTATGTAAATATTGAACACAATTCGATTATGTTAAATATTTTTGTATAAATACAAGATATTGAAATTAGGCGTTTCTTAATGTTGGAAACATAGTTAAACCCTCATTCTATGGGTTTGCTTTTGGGTTTTTATTTACCATTTTAAGAATTTTCTTTTATAAACTTAATCTTCTTAATTCATCAATGTAAAATATAATTTACATATTCAAAGGAATTTAATTCCTACAGATTATAGTTAAAATATAACTTATGTACTCAAAGGAATATTTATTATAAAATTTCAATTATTGAATAATTCAGACACTAATAATGGTTTCTGAAGAATTAAGGAGCTAATTGTGAGATAAGAGATGGAAAATGACATAAATGACCTAGATTTAATCTCGCGATCTCCAACTTAAAGAGGAACAACTTTTCCTTTGAATCAATATGTGATAAGAATCATATCTTAAATATCTCGTGAGGTTGCTTTTAAAACAGCCAAGGATGTGTAAGTATAACCTTTACATATTAATGAGTTAACATACAATATATTTAAAATTTAACCAATGAGCCTTTATTTCTGAATGATATAAAAAATTGATTCAATAATAAATACAATTTAAATATATTAATAATACTTTAAAGAAATCTCTTGATTATTTGATAAACAAATTATGGCCACCTTCCACCATTAAGTTCTTATCAACAGCAATAACTATATTTCAAAGCCAATTAAATGCAAAAAATATCATAGTAGTGCCTTTCATTATCAAGGACAAGTGAAGGCAATTTAATTGCTCACAAACACGGCTTGGAAGAGGCACATGAGTTTTGATTGGTTTTACTTTTTGAATAATATCAAAGTGACATAATGGTGTTCAAAAGATAATATTCAAAACAAAAAAGTTTAAAGCAATTGATTGTATGATCGCAAAAGCTAAAAGGGACACAATATTGGTTTTAATCCTAAATTTTTTCCCAAAGATAAGCTTCACCTTCATACTAAAGATGCTCATGGCCACAAATATTTTTCTGATGAATTTACGTGGCTAAATAACAGTCCTACCAAAGGGGGTGAGCACCATGCACAAGAGACCAAAGAGATACAGTACTATATGAAACTATATGCGCATCACCCCCACCTAGTTTTCTGTTTCGTGGCAAAGACAAATTTGGATGTTTTAGTTTAATTAATGTCATTTGCATACTCACACGAAAACACAAATTAAGATGATGACGCATCAAACTCCTTGTAATGATAGATCACAATCACTTTTGCCATTATTAGCACTCTATATAACATGTGGTTGCTATGATTACAAATATGGGTCAAAAGTTTGGTTGAATTTGGGTTGCAACGTATGAGAAGGGATGACAAGTGTGCCTCCAATTTCTCCAGTTTTCCAGTCCAACATGGTTTCACTGAATGACAGTGACAATGAGTCTTAAGCAGATTGATTTGAGGGGGAAGAGCCTAACATGATAGGCTTTTGTCTTTCCCTCGATGTTATCTGTGGTTCTTGAAATGCAAGGAAAAAAAGGATAATAATTAGCATTTAGATTTCAATTTGATAAAATAAACGAGGCAGGGAGAAAAGAAGAGACAAAAGAAATACCAAAACGCAAAAGTGACGTGTCCTCGACTATTGTTTGTTAGCTAGTATCAGAGAATCATTATGTAACAATTTAACAATGCCAAGCATTAATTAATAGCACGATATGCAAACTACATGTATGAAACACTAAATACGAAAATTTGGCGTATTTTTAAGGTACTTGATTGCCAATTTCCCTCTCAATTATTCACGATATGCACACCAATAATGAGGTAATTTATTTTGATGACGAGCCTAAAGTAACGGTAAAGTTGTATTCTGGTAACTAATTAATCTTGACTCGAATCGAAAAACTAGCTTTTTACATGTCAAAGGGAAGGCTGTGTTCAATTATCCTTTCCTGTACTTTTGCAAAGCTAATAGCCTCTGACACCAGAGCGTGTTAGTTATGAAGATTATTTTAGTCATCTAGTTAGGCCAAAATAGAAACTGCCGCAGGTTTCCACCTTTTTAGAATTAAATGGCAGCTTTAACAGGTCCTCCATCCATGTGGCAGAATGAGATTGCATTTGTATATCATTCGCAAACTCCCATATTCTTCTTGCTTGTGATCACAGCAACTAATCTGTGGCAGGTTCCCACGCATGTTCTAATTATAAAATGCTTATCTTGGCATATCAAACAAACTGATTCATTTTCAGATATGCAAAGATAATCAAAGTGTGTAACTGATGGAGCTTGTAAGAAATGCCAAAAACAGCTATCACTTTACTCCAAGAATCTGCTAATTTCTTCTTTCTCCTCCTTGGTGTGTGAGGTGTAAGCTATTGCGTATGGGGACAACCTTTTGGATTGTACAGTCATTTAATTAAGTAATGTTAAAAGTTCTGGATTTTGATTAATAATTTAGAAAAGGTAGAATAAACTAAAATGTTACTGTAATGGGACATTTGGATATTTGAAGTGAGCATCTTAGCACCAGTATGATATAAATATGTATTAGGATCGTTTCTTTTTGTAGTTAATAAAAAAAATATATGATCTTTTAGGATAAACTTCAAGGACTTATTTGCACAATGCCTCCACATAGTATTCATTGTATTATAAATTTAATAGTGGGTTACTTGAAGACAAGACTGGGAAAAGCATCTAAATTAAAGATGAGGACATATACTAGTAAACAATCACGTAAAGAGAAATTTGGAGAGTTTCTCAAAGTTGGGATTGCTTGATTGAAGTGGAGAGAAAACCACTATCGATGCAAAGATTGCAAACACTTTTTACGCGTAGGAGTGATCATCTTGATTCAAAAAATAAGAGATGATAAGAAAGGGTGACGTGTGCAAATAGATAGAGTAAGAATAATTAAAGTTTTTTTTTTGAAATGCCAATAAAAGGCAGTGACCCTTGTGGTTGCACCATAAGCTGTAGAGCAGAACCATGTGAGACCCACAGTAAGATAGACTCGGATGCAATAACAGAATCTTTTTCATGGACATAAGTACACAGGGAAAGACGTAAAGGAAAGACTTCCAATTTCCAACTACACCGGTCTACATCTTGCTCAATCCACCCAGTGGGATGTTTAGGAAAATCAACACTCAACAGTAATACAAAACTTGTCTATCATGAGTTTACTTTTGGGAAAATGTTTCTAGGACACTTGATAAATAATCTTCGAGAGAAGAAAAATAATATATGTATCACAAAAACAAGTGAAGAAAAATGAAGAACATCGATAGAATATTTGAAATATTTAAGTGTTGAAATATCACTACTCTTGCTTTTGATCAACGGTAAAAGTTTACACAGTGCCGTCCAATCATTGGTTGATACACCACTAAAAAAAGTTTAACTTTTTAATTTATAGTTTTCTGAAAGATGTGACAGTAAATGATTAGGGAATAATATTTTACATTGTCAATGAAGTAAAATAAAATCCTATACCAGTGGAAACTGAGAAGTTTATTTTTGGTAGGAGCATAAATTGGTTCTAGTCTCAAACTTGACGAAACGGAAGATGTCACCACTAATCCGTTAACTAGTAATCCAAAGACATAATGGGTTGCTTTCTAAATTCACAATTATGTAATTCATACTAATGAAAATTAAACTTGTTAGGAAAAGACTTGTTTGTTACTGTTGTTAATATTCATGTTATCTATTGTGAACATAAAAATATCTCTTTCTCCAAGTTAATAGTCCTTCTGACACCAGAGGTTATTGAACTGGATTTTACTTTTTCTAACTAAATCATTCCTAATTAATATTTAAACTATTAGATCCAAGCTATTATTTTATTTTAAAAAACACTCACTACAGAACAGTCCCACTTCACATCCTTTTCCTCTTTCTTTTCTCAAAAGTAGTAAAAGTAGGAATAGGGACCAAGAATTTATGTATATGAATAACTTTTCCCCTAAACCCTAAACCAAAGGAAGAAATTCTGAAGTACACCGGATATAAAATAGGACTCATGGTATTATGGAACATGTACTGCTGCAATTATGTGAGGGTTAGCACTAAACATAAATAAATGTGATCGAGGATTAAAGTAAGAGATTATAATAATCGACGTCACACACGTTGACACCTAAATGTTCCTAAGAATCTCTACCAATGAAGACACCAAAAGTTTGGAAATATTGAGACACCTTTTCTAGGGTCATATGTTGCTTCACAACTGTCCTCTACAAAACGAAAAATATATTCCAAAGAGGGTTTAATGGAACGAAAGGAAAAAGAAATCTTACTAGAAATGAGAGCCTTTGGTCTGTTCTTGAACAGAATCTTATGTCTAATGACTCCAACAACTTGCAGCTCCACCTTACACCCACTTTCTCCATCAGGATGCTTTACTTTCTTGAGCACCACCATTGGCTTCTTCAAGGGAACCTTTGACCCTGTCAGTTCGTGGTATCCAACAGTGAAGGTGTACAATTCCTGAACAACAAAAGTAATCAACACAAAATATCAGTTTACCATTAACGAAAAAAAAACTTGAAATATTTTTGTTGGTAATCATTGATTTAGAACCCAACATAGGTCAACCAGTGCAGTCCATGGTTTAATTGAATCCACTACTTTTCTGTGGACAATCATTTTTTAATTACTATAAAATATAGTTGCATTCATTCTGTCCGTACCTTTTCTAATTCTGTTATGATAGCTACATAAGAAACAGTTTCTCTACTTATTAAGATAATAAATCTTCATTTAGACATTATTATCTCGCTTCTTCTTTTTCTACATCTCACATACTAAATTTCTAAATGTCTAGAAATATTTCTTAATCATCTTAATCTAATATGCTTTTGTCTTCATGTATTTTTATATTGGATATTCTTACCTGCATATCCATTTCAATTTCAAAATAACCTTAACATAATTTATATATGCATATATATATATATATATATATATATATAATATAAATTATAATAATAATATAACTTATATATTTCAAAACATATACTTAATATACTTTTTACTTATAAAAAATAAAATATTGTATCAAGTAAAATACAAAACTAAAATAATTAAAAAAAATCCTAAAACAAGTAATAACTTTTAAAGGAACAGTTATTTGAACCCTAAAAAGTAAAAAGAAAAAAAAGGCAAATCAAACATTATGTAAAAAATTTGAATTCAAATATATTCTGTTAATCCTCGCATTTTTTTAATTATTTTCCCTCTTCGTTGATATTAAAAATTACACTACTGTTATGGTTTAATTAAGGAAATCGAAATCAAAATGATATTCTTAGTCAAATTTAGAGGATCAAAACAGATATCGAAATCATAATTGAACCTAAAAACTACAAAGTCGAATTTCAAAGCAAATATATGCCTCTAGTTCCTATTTAACTTCCATAATCTCTCCCGTTCTTTTATTTTTATTTTATTTTTTATGTATAGATTCCCGTAGTAACAATTAGTCCAATGGTTACACTGGCGCATATCTTCTGACAAAAGCTCATCGATAATATATTTAACAGAACCCTAAAAGCAGAAATAAACGTTTTAAACAGCGATTTTAGAACAGCCTATGATATAAGCAGGTAGCGAGGGTGATTCCAGGTGTAGTAAGAGTGACATTTGATGAAAAATTGGTGGGTCAAAAGGCGAGTTGGAATGAGAATCGGAATTGAAAATGATGATGGAATTAAAGAGAGAATAGGAAGCGAAGAAAAAGGAGAGGTGAGAGAGGGGAACCTGAGAAGAAGGACGACAGAGAGTACCGATGTGGAGATTTGGGAGGGAATCGTGGAATCCTGGCTGAGGCTCCACCACTCCTTGGAGCTCCACAATGCCCCATTCCTCGCAGCTTCCTTCTCCGCAGTTGCACCTCACGCGAATCTCCATCTTTTCCCTTCTCTCTCCACACAGGCCCAGTCAGAATTGGGAATTTTATTGGGATGTGATATGGTTTCGCGGCAAATCGCTTTCTTTTCCCGCCAATTTGGTGCAAAATCAGGAGGGGAATATGTAATAATAGCTTTAAACATGGATTCTAAGAGTTTTTTTTTTTTTTAAATATTAGTTATTGAATATTAGATTAACTTTTTTTCATGTCTTTGAAATTCATCAATTTCAATTTTTTTAGTTGAAATTTCTTATAAAAGTTTTTAAAAATATATTCTATTATTTTAATGCAAAACAAGTTAATTATATAATTTTTATCTTTGAAATTTAAATTAAAACTTTTAATATATTTTATAATTCTATTTATTTAATATTTATTACGTGATATTTATGAATTAATCTTATAAATAATATATTTTAAAACAAAAAATTTAATTATAATTTATTATATTAAAAAACATTTAATAATATTTTTTATTAATTTATTTATTCAAATACATCAGTTTATTGTTTATTATTAATATATAATTTTTCTTATTTTTTTTCATAATTTTTTAATTTTCTCTCTCTTTACTCTTTTTATTTTCTTATATTTACTCTTTTAATTAAAATTTAATAAAATTATATTAATGTAATTTTAAAAAAAATCAATATTAAAACTTAAAAAAACCAACTAATTATTTAAAATTATGACAATACTATATAATATTTTTTATAATTACAGTAAATAATTTTATATACATCATATAAATAATTAATTTTAAATTATTGTATTATAATACATCAATTATTCATCTAATTAAAAAATATTAAATATTTATAAATTAAATAAAAATTTATTTAATAATTCAATTGAACAATAATGATTAATCATCTTAAATAATTTAGCAAAATATATTTATTAAAAAATTTAAAATAAATATTTTATTTTTTTAATAATTATAATATTATTTGTAATACCTTATATTTATAATATAATATTTTTTAAATATAATTTAGTAAATTATAATATTTATAGATAATTTAAATATTTTATATTTTTTTAAATAACAACAAATAATAATAAATAATAACTTTATTATATTTAAAAAAAATATTTTTTATTATTACATTTTATATATAAATAATAAACAAGAGACAAATGAATTTATAAAATATTCTATTTAAGCATTTTTTAATATATTTTTTTTAAAATTGATTCAGTGTTTTGTCAATAAAATTAACCCATCTTCAACTAGTTAAAAATTTTCAACCATCAATCGAATGAGATGATTTTTTACATCATAAAAATTCAAATAAATTTTTTCTTATAATTTAAAAACAAAATTCCACAGGTATTTTATCATCACAAATGATTTAAAATCCTATATTGATTTTAATTCAAGTAATAAAAATGATTTAGAGTTAATCTTTAAAATTCATCACACTAAGATGTGAAAAGTAAATGACATAAAATCAATTTAAACTTATTATATATATATATATATATATATATATATATATATATATATATATATATATATATATATATATTGGTTATAATGACTTTTGAAGTCAGAATTGACAATTTTTTTAATTTATCTAACATATGTTATAAAAATAAAATTTATATATATATATATATATATATAATTGATTTTAATAATTTTTTTACTTAATCAAATATAAACTCAAAGTATCTTATTGATCTAAAATTAACGGTCTTGACAATTTTTATTTATAACTTTTTAAGATGACAAATAGAATAAGAAATAGTTTAACAATTTCATCCAATGGTAAAAAAAATAAAATCCCTAACACATTTGTTTAAAGAGAAATATATTACTTTTTCAGTCATGCCAAAATTCCATTTTAGCTTCACAATAATTGTTTCAAGAATAAGATAACATTGCTATATTTAATTAATATAAACAACATTTATAAAAACTTATTCACCCAAATGATATTTCAAATTCTTTATCTTTCAAATTAACATAACTGAATTGGAATGCACATAAACATTCATTTAATGTTGCAGGTTGAGTAAATAAAAAAAAGTTACATCTATTATTCTATGTCAAAGTTTTATGAATTTCTTTATCTCATTTGAAGGGTCTAAATGGAATAACACATTCAATTCACCATAATGTTGGCACGTAATAAGATTTATAACATTTTTATTTTGTATTACAGGTGACCCTCAATCGCGTGACACCAAACAAAATTCAGGTGGAAAATATCTTTCTTATTAGCATATCTAAATTTATTGCATGCAAATAATTAGTTTTTTATTTTTATTTATAAAACTTTTTTTCTTTTCTTTGTTAAAACTAGTTTTATTCGTTTAATTTTTAAATATTGATCTATTTTGATCTTTGGTTTATTAAAGTCAATTATACTCTTTTTAGAAAAATATTTTATACTAAAATGTAAAATTTTTAACTACTGGTAAGAATTTAATTCCACAAGTTTTACGTGTAAAATAATTTAGAGTAGTGGTTTAAAAAAATAGACATTAACCTAAATTTAATTTGAAATATATACGATCAAAATACATATAGTAAAACATATAAGACCCGAACAAATTTTTTATTAATAAAAAGACATGAGAACAAAATATGTAAAAATCCTATCTTGTTTTACTATCAGTTCTTAAAAATCATAAAAAATTAAAATATTTGTTATGCAAGATTTGAAACAAAGAATTTAAAAGATATTCTTAGATTAGCATCAAGTATAAAAATTTTGGCTTATTCTATACCTTAAGAGATGCAATTCTTAGTGACAAGACCAACCAGCTACTACTGTAAAGTGATTCTAAGGAAAGATTTTTCAACCTAGATTAGACGCCATTAGAGACACAGTTCTACAGACAAACTAATATGATATATAGCAACTGACAAGTAACATTCAATATACATATAAGTTAAAAGGGCCACAAAACAAAATAACAAAAGTAGAGAGGTTAAAGCTTTACTGGGATAAGAAACTCTTTATAGTTCTTTCTAACTGTACAATCTTAGTTTAGTTCAGATACTGGTTGCGGATCTAACAAATATTCCTTCTAGTATTTTCACCACGGTGAGGGAGTCTGGCTCCAGCAGTACCAACATCGTTTCTGGTGTGCTTCAATGATGGATCCACAAAAGACTGGTTAAACATTGGTTTTTGTGTGCCGAAGTATTGGTTGCAGTAGAAGTCAGCTTGGTACATGTTATCTAAACTGACACTTGACATAGTCATCTCACTCTGCTGCTGGTTACTGGATGAGCTGAGCTGCTGTTGAAGACAGTTCTTGGGGTTTTGATCAGAGTCTAATGGGATAGAGTCGGTGAGAGTTTTTATAGCAAATTCAATGCATGGATCCATCCATGACATGTCAAGTGACTTTTCAGATGGTTCTGCATCCTCATTTTTGGCCTTCACATTGGTTTTGGTGGCATCACCTGCATATTGTTGAGGAATAGCAAGGTTCTCGGGAGATGAGAACACATTGTCACCTAAACCAACATTGCTTTTCTTACCATTCCCTCCCCTGACCTCTGAATGCTGGAAGTTTTTTAACTCAGAAGAGGTTTGTGAGCTTTTGGGGATGTCAAATGTTACTCCAGTGAGAGTTTGAACTGCAAATGCAATACATGGGTCTGTCAGTAGTTCTCTGAGGGGAAAGTCAAGGTTGTAATCTAACTTTGCATCAACTTTGTCTCCATTGTCAGTGACTCTCACACACTCTTCAACAGTAGCATTGTTCTCCAGAGGTGAAAAAGTGAACCATTCTTTATCCTTGCCACTTAATTTCTGTTTTTCTAGACCATCAGGCAAGCTATTGGGAGTTCTATCCACATTTGTGATGGACTCTTCTTCTTCACCTGATTGTTTAAGTGTCAGTCGACGTGTTCGACTTCTTGTTTGAAGTTCAGGAACAGGATCAACTTTAATTCCAGCAAGACGCTTTGAAGATCGTCGAGGCAAATTGATCTCTTTCTTGTGCTTGTTTTTGTACTGGTGATCTTGGACCTGCAAGTTTTCAGTTCCTTGCTTTGTCTCTGAATTTTCTTGAAGTTTCTTCTCTTGGTTATCTTTGTTAGTGAAACCTGAAAACAAAGCAAAGCGCTTTTAGCAACACTAACATTCAATCCCCACCACACATAATCATTTAATAAATTCACATCAAATGCAAGATCATTATTGACAAGGAAAAGGATAATCTAGCATAACTACAAAACCTGTTTAATTTCACTTTATCTAGAATGAACAAAATAATTTTGTACCAGAATTGAATACAAAACTCTAACAACAAGCAAAAAAGGTCTTAGTTTCCACAAGATCTTATAATTGAAAATAAAGTTTATTAGTAGATGTTGGTAGCCAAAAATAAGCTAACAATACTAAACTAGAGAAGGCCAATACAATAATAGCATTTCATGGTGTATCTAATTAGGTGGAGTCTATCCCGTTAACTTCAAAGGAAAATGAGGAAAGATGGGAAATTTACAGTGATTGGAAATACATTTTGAGACGGGCACATGCATGTATACTTCAGAACATGCAGATCTTGAAATCTGTTGGTCTTTTTCTACCATGTCCAAATCTGAGCTCTGATCCATGCTAATTGACAATGTTGGTTTCATGGTTACACTTGCTGACTGTGAAGAAATCACAAGAAAAGGAAGATTGTATAAGTAGAAACCTTAGTGGCATTAATGATTCCCTTATCCAGTTTTACTATGAGTATCCAAGAGAATTTAAATCCACACGGAAAGCCACATGATGGGGCAGGTGAAGCGGAAGGAAAAGCTTAGCATATGACACTAATTAATAAATAGACAAACTAAAAGAAGCACAGACAGTTATGACCACCCATACAGGAGATTTGGCATCTTTTTGCATCGTATCACTGCTGTCTTTATCTTTTAGCTTGAGTGTGTTCCTTCCCATCCCTCCAGATCCAAGATAGCGATCAACATCTTCAATTGAGCGGAATGTATACCCACTTACAGGGTCAATGTAGTACTGCATGTACAAACTAGAAGGGTGAATTAATTATTCTTGCATTGGTTGGTGATACATTGAAGGCACAAAAAATTTAGATAAAAAGTTGCACATCCTTCTATTCTTAGTGCTCAAGTGATGTAGTAATATGCATCATAAGTGAGCTCAAACACTCTTGATTTAATGTGCAGTCAAAGTTTAGTAAAAGTGAACTAAGTTTTTTTGTATAAGTCAAAATGCACATGAATAGACCCTAGAATATGCAATGAGTTTCACTAAATAGGAATGAAGACTACAAGAATGGGGGAGAAAGTCAAGAAGAGTGATGGTAGAAAGGAAGCATGTTTTCAGAAGATAATATATTTTTCAGCTACAGGGCGGATATCAAGTTCGAAGCCACTTTATTGCCTAGATTCATGACTGATCCAAGCCATTTTCATTTTTGGACAGCAGAGTGGGAGACAAGTATATCCAAGGCATTAATGATTATGGTAAAAACAAAACATGGCAGAATGAAAAGCTAGTTGAGTTTATTGGGAGTGATTTCAAGTGATGCCAGAAGTACTCTTATGACTTTCATACAAGCAACAAAGCCAAGACTTTGGAAAAAATCTGTTCAAGTTTAACAAAATAATCAGCATTTTTTACAGCCAAAATTACAGTTTTATCACAGCTGAAAAAGGCACATTGAACTCAATCGTCGCTTCATTTATAAAGAGATAAAAGAAAGAAACATTTAACTTGAACTTTGCAGGTCAGAAGATCATGTTACAGACTGTTTTACAAAAGCAATCAGATCAAGAAAATATGTAAAGATTATTTGGACACTTAATGAATGTGTGGCTACAAATAAAATATTGAAGAAAAACTTCGTTGAGGCATTGTTTACCGTGTCTTTTCTAACTGTATCACCTCTTGTTACAATTCTGGTCGTTTTCACCCATCCCGGTGGTAACCCTTCCGCAATAGCTTTCTCAACTACAACCTACATTGCTTGAATAACCAAATTTCCCCACATAAATTATACAAACAGATAGATAGATGTAAACATAAAATAATATAATCAAAAGAATAATTTTCTTGACAGACATTAGGAGATATTTTCTGGATGCTGACTTTGTTCTGAGCATTATCAAGATAGCGAAATAGCTCCACCTTTGATTTGAATTTTAGTCCACTTGAGGGGAGAAAGTAATACTGCAGTAAATATAAATTAAATAGGATGAATACGATTGGAGCTGCATCATCATGTATAAAGTTTCTGTGACTATAGAAGCCAAAGAAAGATAAAATCTTGACGATTTTACCAACTAAAAAGATGTTAAAACCGAAATATGTACATTTTCATTTAAGATCAGATAATAATTTTATCAACCAACATTTGCATGTAAAAGATTCAAAGGTAGAAATACTCGATTTTCATCTAAAATTTAATAAAACACAAATAGAATGATTAACAATCAACTGACAAGGTCATCCACTTTTCCTGACTTCCATTTCACAAATAAAGTCACGGTTTTACCTCTCATTTGGACTGAATGGAAGTAAAAAATGTAATCAAAGATAAAATCTGTTTGGTTTAAATGCAGTTAACTTTAGTTCATGAATTAACTTATATTTCCTTCTTATTTTGTCATCTTATAAATGTTTATGGGAAATTTTATCTAAGTAGGTACTCAATCACTTGTTAAGACACATTACTATAATAGATATAATGGAGGGAATTTCACTTGACCGGCTGTGACATCCAGAGAGTGGAACAGAAGAGTTTCAAGTTTTAAGAACTTCCACTTGAAACTGTCATTAGAAACACATTCCTATTTTTGTCTTTCATTTACACAGTGTCTAGTTTCATTCTTAGAGTTAAAAACATCATTCATAAATATACCATCAGAGAAACATTTTTCCTCACAATGCTACTTGAAAAGCACCACCATACTGAGTCTAGTTTCACTGTTGCAAAGACATGCCATATTCACCACACACATGCAACACATGACATGCTAACACGACACCATCCTACCTAAGAAAAAATATGGCATAAAAAACCCCTTCTTATTATACTTTTCCCCTTGATCCACTCACACAAACAACAATGAAAAACATACCAAATGCATGTCCCATTTGAAATTTTGAAACGAAAAAACGGAAATTTAGTGAAGAGATATAGTCCAAACTCCAAACGGTCAACAGATAACATGCAAAGCATAAGTTAAATTTCAGACGCTAATCAAGTGATATATCCAAATAAGAAAATGAAAACAAAATTTATTGAAACTCAATCTCAAAACCCTTGACACCTAAATCAACTATAGAGGCTCAACTTACAAATTATATCTACAGTAGAAAATAACACATGTCAAGTCTAAAAGAAACAAGATCACAGTACTACAACCAGAGGAAAAAGCATTATTATTAGTGAGTCAAAGCTCAATTACCTTGTCCCTCTTACCATTCTTTCTGACCTTCACTTCCACATTCCAACCTGGTGGAAGGTCATGGGAGTTTGGCTCCTCCATTCTTTCGGCGAGCCTCCGGCCGGCGAACAAAAAAGAACCTCTCGGTCTTAAAAAAGAGTGTTTTTTTTCCACTTTGACTGTAAGGACAGTGAGTGTCACCACATCTACGCACTAGCACTAGCTTAGTACCTTCCACCGAGTCATATAAAAAAAGATTGGATGACCACGTGGTGCAAATGCAAGACAGATAGATACACTTTCTTTCCAATTTTGTATCTATCTATCTTTTTTTCTTTTTCATATAAGCAAAGGTCACCAAATTGGAATCTCTGAATAATTTTTAATCATTTTAGTTTATATCATGGATGCTGTAAAATGTGTTTTTTCTTTGTCTATCAAAGAGTATGTGTGCACAAGAGAAACACAGGAGTTTCATCTTCTTTTTAAGAAATAATGTTGTGTATAAGAGAAAAATAAAAATAAAAAATAGAAGTTGTTGAAAGAGATGAAAATAGGTTAGGTCATATTAAGTTTTGATAAATAAGAATTTAATTTTAGTTAGAGAATATAGTGTCCAACTTCATATTTATATATAAATTTTTTTTATAAGTTCATTCTTCTTATGTATGTTTGTGACTTTCTGGGTCTGCTTTTCCCTTACACTAGTTCAGATCTATTGTCTTACTCTTAAAATCTACTTTTCCTGCTTTGTTTTTTTGGTTGAAACTTGTGTAATTTCCTCTCCACTTTCTTTCTTTCACTTGTACTTTACTGAATAGTACTTATTTCAACAAAATGTCACTGAATTTAATTAAAAGACCCATTTGCCCCTCCGGTTTGAAACCAAGTTTATTAAGTGCCCAATTTCCAAAGTCACAGTCACACGCGCACACTTTGTCACTTTTATTCTTTAGCTTTTGCTATTTTTAATTTTATATTCAATTGTTTTGGTTTTTAAAAAAATTCATCCCTAAATTTTGAGTCCAAAAATTACCTCTATTTACTTTTAGAGCAGACTTTTTAAAATATAAAAAATACAGTATATAAATTTTATTGTAAATTAAATAAGAAATTTTTAAAAATGAAACAGATATAAATTCTTCTAAAGTTTTAATATTGTACATGTTGATTGTTATATTATTAGCAAGTTTTTTTCTAGGTATTATTTTTATAAAGTGACAATAATTTTAATTTTTACTAAAAATAATAGTAAAAGTTAAAATGAAAATATTTTTTAAAATTTTAAAAGATAAAATAAATATTTTATATAAAATTAGAGACTAAAGTAATCAACACTATAGGAATTAAATTTTCTGACAGTGTTTACAAAATATTTTTGTAAAAAAAGAGTAAAAATTATTCTGATAATTTTATATTTAAGAAAATTAAAATAATATTTAATTGTTAATTGTTATGGGAGAAGGTGAACTTTGTTATATAGAAATTAACAAAGTATATTGATGGATGTTCAAGTTATTCTTATGATAAGAAAAATTGTAACACTCTTTAATTGTCATGACAATGGTCATAAACACATGGAAGTTGTTTGAAATTTTGGACAAAGAAAAAATGAGGGGTGAAAAATGATTAGGCATGATTTAGAAGTAGTCTTTTTCAGATCATATTTTATTTTATACATTTTAAAAATTGTATGTAAATATCCTTATATTAAATCTATTTCGTACGTAGAAATATTCTTAAAAATGTAATTTGCTTATAGAAAATAAAATTTGAAAATTCCTTTTAATTAAATGAATAAGAATGAACTTTTTCACTGTGCATCATTGTTACTTACCTATGAGAAAATTGGTGAACCAATTTCAACATTTTCCTACTCATATTTATGATAGTTAATTTTTAATTAAATATGAGAAATCTCAATTGAATACAATAACTGAATCTTTGATATACTATGACATAATACAAGGTTTTATCTACTAGATAATGAATCAAATATATATATATATATATATATATATATATATATATATATATATATATATATATATATATATATATATATATATATAAACTCAAGTTTTATATATATATAGAGATGTAGTTAAAAGCACACAAAATTTATGTATGTAAAAAGAAATCTCAGATTAGAAATGTCTCTGACCGACCATGTTTCTCAGATAACAATTTTCTTCCTGCAGGAAATTAAATAGGCCACAAAAGATTATGTTCAGGGTAGCAAGAGATAGATAACAGAAGATGGAAAAAATCTCTTTAGAACACAGTCAGATGCTGCAACTATAAAACTTACATAATTTTCTTTTAAAAGAAAATTTGTTATACAATCTGTTGAAAAAGGCAAACTGAGACTAATTAACTTCTTTCCTCTATCCCTAAAATAAACTCATCCAACAGACTTCATATTTTTGTCATATATGGGTCAAGAATCCAAAACTTCATAATCATTGTTAAATGTTAAGTGCACGTGATTGCACAACTACACTCTACAAAGTGTTGTCCAAATAGTTCATGAACTAAGGTTCTGTTGTGTTTGTTATTATTGACACGGATAGGAGGAATGCGGATTATTAATATTTGTATCCATCAATTTAAAAGAAAATGTGCCGACGGATTTGAAGGAGAATATGGATCTTGAGCCCACGTATGAGAAGAGGGAAGATATGAAGGAAAATAAAACTTGAACTACATTTTTATCCTCATCTCACTCAAGCGAAACCTTAATTGTGGTTCAGGAGAGGCATGACTGTGGATGCGTCCTAGAAATCTTGGTAGTTCAACCACATGCTTTACATGCATCCACAGTGGTCATCCCTGTCCCAAGGACAATGGCCATTAACAAATAGGGAAGATAAATGGTTTGTAGAGGTGAGTTGAACCTGTGAGATGAGTCATTGGATATGGTTTGATGTGTGTGGTGGGCATTGGAACGGAGAGTAACCATGTGACTAGCTGAGAGAGACAGAGAGTATTTATCCTGGGGAGAATTGTTGAAAGAGATTCTAACTCTTGATTTGAATACATGATAATTGATTCTTTTTTGAATGGATGAAAGAAAATTAATTATCATTTATATGCATAATAAATTATATGTTAAACCAAAATAAACTCTTGACCTTACCATAATTTATTCTCATTTGGGAAGGATAAGTTTTCAAATAATTTATTATTATTAAATTATATGTGCTTGACAAGAATAGATTCTCTTTCAATAAAAATCAATTTTCAAATTATTTATTAATATTAAATTATACATGTATTTAATATATTTAATTATTATTATTATTATATAATAAGTTATGTTTATTATATATGTTTTTAGTATTAATGATGTTATTAATATATTAATAAGCAAAATGCATTCTCACCAAGTTATAGGAATATTGATCCTCTTTCTTTTTAAATCATTTATTAATAATCATTTATTAATATTAAAGAGAATTGATTCTCACTTCATTTTGAGAATCATTCTCCTTCTTTCTCAACTTTTTCTTATTAATATTAAATTATAATTTTATTTAATTATTACTATTAAATAATAATTTGAATTTATTATATATGTATTTAGTATTAATAATGTTATTAATATATTGATATTAATAAGGATTTTATTTATTAATGTATTAGCGATAAATTAATAATTTTTATAATTAATTATTTAAAATATTTTATAATATATAAATATTTGATATGATTTTTGTAAGCTAATTATAAAATATAATATATAAATTAATAATCAACATAACAAAATATATTTCAATAATCTTGATATTAATACTAATAATATTATAAATATTGATTTTAATTTCAAAAAAATATATCAAAACTATAATAATAATATTGGTGCATTAGAACTTTAAACAAAATAATAAGATACATTAATAAATAAGAATCTAAATTTATTATTTTTATAATTTGTTTAGTTTTATATTTTTTTTACCTTATATAATTATTTTTATATAAAATCTATTATAATAATTATTTTAAAATTTTACGTAAAACAATTAAAAAATAATTATGAAAAGTAAATTTTTATTTGAACTTTTATATTTTAAATAACAACTAACATTTCGTTTTAACATAATTTTTCTTAAATACATTTTATTTTAAATTATATTTTTAAGACAAGAATAAAATTATAATTTTATCTATTCAAATATTTTTTTTATCTATCAATTCAATCATATCACTCACAATTCTTCTCATTTCTATTCGTTTCTTATCAATTTTTCCTTGATTCAAACAACTTCTCCCCAAATGAAAAATTTGTGATAACTCTACTAAGATAGGGGAGCAAAATAATACAAACTCAATTTTGATATTCTTCTATGTAATCATCCAAATAAAGACACCGATTTCCTTTCTCTACAAAGATAATTATTACCCACCCAAAACAACACACCAACTAGTAACAAACAATCCCAAACAAGTTAATTACTGGGACACCCAAACTTCTACAGGGAACTAGGCTACATTTTCAAACTGCTGCATGATACTCATCTATAGTTAGTTTCATTGCATCTAACTGTGAAATAATAAATTCCACTTTCTTGTGACAAATTTCATTTGCTATTCTTGAACCATAGTCACATTTCTCAAATGGACGATATTCACAGGCGCTTTTGATTTCATCACGCAATGCCACCTGAATGTCCTGAAAGATTTGAAAATAAATAAATGAAGTTAAAGCAAAAGTTTGAACATCAAATTCATAATAATGAACTCAAACAAAAACAGAGTATGTTGATCTTAAGTTCACTGTTCTGCATACTTAGATAAACTCACAGCATCATTTTCATTATTTAATTATAATTAACTAAACAAGTTCATTATTTAATTACACTCAAGTAATTTAAAAAATATCATACAAGGCAATCAAAACTATTGCTTGCCAATTTATATTATAAAACAATTTCATTTAGAAGTACCAACATACCAATTACCAATATATGCCCTTATGAACTTAGTAGTTGAGATTTAAAGTATATAATTTTCAACAGAAATAGGAATTCATTTCATGTCTACAATTTGAGTTCATTAAGTTCTAAGTTTAGTTTGCTTGTCATAGCTTAGCATTGTTTGTGTAACCTGACTAGTTCATGTTATATGTCTTGGACAATTCAGCCTTAGTTTTAAATTTGAATAAGAATTTTTTCAATATATTAAACTATACTTTGGTTAAAACACAAAGACAATAATACTTACAAGCAAAGTGTAACAGGTTGTAACAACAAGTACAATGGTAGTGTTAAGCCTCACTTTTTATGGAACTTGAAGACTACTTTAAGCTAGAGTTAGAAAAAGAGCTTCAAATTTAAATTTAAGGTTGTTTAATAATCACTAATTCTATAACTTTTAAAAATCAAAAGATACCTTTTGAAATTATAATGTGATAAGCACCCAAACACTTAAAGAACACACCCTTTGAGGAGAACTAAATACTCAAAAACTGGATCGAGCATAATCTCATAGTACTCGATGTGAGACTTAAGTACCCTATGCTACTCGACGTGGGACTCAACCAGCACCCCATAATACACAAATTCCTATCATAATGTCATTGATACAAGTTTAGAATGTCATTATTTAAGATAAGTATAGAAGTTGAAATTCCAGCTCATAGAAATGCTGGCTGCAAGTAATATAGGTGGTGTTAGAAGAAGTTAGGAACGCCTATGCTATGGGACTGGGTTTCTATTAATTAAGAGAGTTAGTCAGAGTTGTGTTTTATGAAAATTCTATGTTTCTACAGAATATGGAAAAATATGGGATATTAAGATGTAGGGAGAAAAAAAATTAGGGGTATGATCTATCTCAGGTTCTAGAAATGTAGACAGAAACAACTTATATTCTTTATTTCTCTTCCTAACAGGGTTCATCTGTAATACAGGGCTAGTGGAGATATCATCAATAAAAAATTATCTTTTCATTCATTTTTTCACTAATTTCAGAAAAAAAAGATTTGTGTAAAGTAATAAAATATCGTTACAGAATGCCTGCTGTTAATAATGTTAATTATTGAAATTAGACCACTTTAATCAGACTGGTGCCATTTTGGTAGTTTGTGGACCTTTTGGAGCTTGAACCCACAGGGCAACCCTCTTTAGTATGTGACAAAGATATGCATATATCCATAAAATCATGTTATATGGAGAGACAAATGCAGAAGCCATAAATAGTAGCTTCTGCTGTGATGAGGATCATGCAACCATGCACGTAGATGCAAACAAGTGGTTAATATACATGTATATACCAAACAGTAAATTGATTTCTGTGAGACAAGGACCTTGATTAGTTGCATGAACTCAAGGCAGTGGTTTTGGACCACATCCTTCCTAGGACCAACAGGACTTGCAAGCTCATCCATGACCCCTCCAGCAAGCTCCAAAACTTTCACAATTCTCTAAACATGACCAGCAGAAAAGGTAAAAATCAATAAAGCGAACTATAATGTTCTGTAAATTTCAGGACTTTTTTATAAATGTTTTCAATATTTACATTTTCTACATTCTGAAGTCTCTGCAAAGATGTTGTCTGGCCCTGTGAATCCATGGATGTGGATTCCTTGTGTTCCTTCTCTAATTCAGGTCTGTACAATAAATTATGTGGACAACAAAATGGTCTATAAGATTTCATAATCATCAAATGCACAATTAACAATTTCATAATCACATAAAGTGACAACAATAACAAGAGTTGGGATGCATCAGATTGTAAGGATTTATCGGCTAGTGCATCGTGCCTCTGTCTCTATCAGCTAGTTTATTTACTTTTCATCTTGTAGAGGAAGGATATCTACTTCCGACATACCATGAGCATGGGATTTACACTCATTTACTAGACCACGTATATATGTTCTATTTGGATTAACCCTTATCTTGGAGAAACTTAGGCCAGTCTCAAAAATCACTTCAGGGAACAATAGATCCTTCACTGTTTGGATGGCTCATCTATGGCTAAGAGTTTCTACAACTGCTTTTTCATGACAGTAGATGATACGAGATATAGGTATGTTGCAGATGCCAAAATCTGGCCATCGTAGTCCCTAAAAACCACCCCTTAACCAGCACCTTTGTTAGTGACAACGGAGGCTTCCACGATTCCTTTGTTCATCTCCTGCTTTGTGGATATTAATGATAGTTGCATATATGGGTTTTCATTGCAAGACTATAATGAGTACTCATTGTTTTAATGAAACCAAACTCGTTCATTCCAAAAATAAACAAAAACAAATACTCTTCATTGGCTTCAAACATTTCAAAAATGGTCAACCCTACATACCTAAATTTCTCTCATGTATTTCATCAAACAGGTTCTTGGCACTCTCAAAGTTGTCTATATCAAGAGGTGAGGGTATGAGGAGAACAACTCGAAGGCACTCAACATGACTTAATCAAACCGTTTTCTCTTTTCAATTTAGTATTATTTTATTACTACAATTCTAAAATATTTGTAATGAAGTGACATCTGCTAGTTGGATGTGTCTAACAACTCACATTTAGGGTTGCGCCTACCAAAGTGCTTCTCACAGAGAACACTCCGAAGCTAGTAACAAACCAATTCAGATCCGAATTTCTAACCCATAACCAATTTTCACTGTAAATCACTAACCAAGAACCAATTCAGAATTCCATTTGGAGCTTTGCATATATGATGATGTACATTACAAAGAGGAAAAATAAGAAAAATACAAGCACATAAAGGAGGAGAGAAAACTTACTGACCGTGTAAGATGAGACGTGTGCAGCGGTAAAGAGAAACAATACTGCAATCAATGGTGCCAGTCGAAGTAGGGTTTTCTCGATTGTGCGGAAAATGTTGAATGGCTGGGGAGAAAATGAAGAAAAAAAGATATATCCATGTAAATAATAAATTATATTCTTTTAGGTCACTAAAAGTGTAAGGCTATTTTTTTTGTCCTTGAAAAAATAATATATTTTTAAATTATTTTAATAATTATATATATTATTAAAATACAATTTAATTTTTATATTTATAAATTAAATTATATTTTAACACTCGTATCGATTAAATTACATTTTTTATTACAATAATAAAATATTACCTAACAAATATATTTTTTCTATATTTTATTTAAATTCCAAAATTAAATTAAAATTCCAACATACTCTTAAAAGTCAATGTACAAAATTAACTGGTGTACCATCATAAAATCTGCTCATTTATTAATTTTCATTTTGTGTTTTTGCCTAATAAATAGCACTAATAAATAAACTATGGAGTCTTGTATTTTAGAGTAAAATAATTAATGTCTTTAAAAGTACAAATATATATATATATATATATATATATATATATATATATATATTAACAATTGTATAATACTTTTTAAAAAATGTATGATTAGATGAAATATTTAAAAAAATGGTTTTTATTTAGTAGTTTTTTGAATTTGAATTTTATAAAATAAATAATAAATGTCAAGAGTGATTGGCTCATTTAAACGAGCTTATATATAATATAGTCGCATTAATTAATTTTGAATATAATTTTAAAGTATTAATCTAGAAAGAAATAAATTTATAGAAACGTCTTAAATTTTATTTTATGTTTTAAACATACTTTTTGTGAGCCATCTAAACCGATACTATAGTATAAACTTTAATTTTAACTAATTTAATTTTTATAGATTCTATAAATAAATACTTTAGAAGTTTACTTTCATTCTGATTCATCCTTAAAAAATATTCTTTTTCAAATAATTAGTTTTATTGAGTTAAAATTAAAATATTTATCTTCTATGTGAATTTTTTCTGATATCTTTTTATGATTAATGCTTTTGAAACAAAACTGAGGTATTTGAAACAATATATTTAGAGCTAATAAGATCCACCATAATAATAGTGTGTGTATATATATATATATATATATATATATATATATATATATATATATATATATATATATATATATATATCATAGATGTGAAGATGGTTAGAAGATCCTATGATCCTTAAAAATTTCATTGTTAAAATAATATATCTTTAAAGTTAATTAATTATTGGATCTTCCACCAAAATCTATGTTTTCTTCTCCTACTATATCGACAACAAAATTTTCTCTTGAATTTAAAAATTTTCAAGTTATATCATAAAACGGATTATTCAACATTTTTTGGATCTTTCTAGTTAATATCATAAATGAATCTCATGTGTGTTAAATTGCAGCTATGTTGATTGCAAAAGCCAGAAATATTATGTCAGATAACACTGTTAACAAGCTAAAGTAAAGTAGATAACTCTGATATAAAATTACATCACAAGGACATGTGATAGATATAGCTGAAAAGTTAGAAAGATGGTTCCCAGTTGAATAATAAGATTTATGGTGTAAAGAGATGGATGAAAGACAAAGCAAATACTGATAAAAGCCAACGAAAATACATAAATAAATCTGCAACAAGCCAGATAAAAAGGCTGTTACGTTATTGCAACTATCCCTAGGTGTAAGAGAACATCTAGGACTAGGAGAAAGGAAGACATAAAATAAGCAAAAGCTATATCATATCCAATAATCTCTAACTATAGAGTTAAAGGGTGGATATATATCATATTAATTCTTTGTGATATCAACTCTGGCCATTTGGGTGTTTTGAAGCAAGAATTTCAATACTTTGATGATTTGTCCATCAAATAGGTCTAATAATTTGCTCTTCACTCTCAGTGATTCCAATCTGACAAAGCATGGGGGTTGAAGGTTTGTTGAATCATCGGAGAGATCCTGCACAGTTTCAGCAAATTGGAACATATTAATGCAAGACTGATACTGCAACTTTTTTTCACATATAGACGCAGATAGAAAAAAAAAAGAGAAAAAAAAAAGAACTGAAATAACTTACATCTAGAATTGCTTGAAGGGTAAATGAACCCAATGTTAATATCCTTGCATTGGCAAGTCCTTGCATCAATTTTATGATGACTGAACTTTTCACCATAAACAAGCCAATACTCACAGCTCCAAGAAGAGGTAGATTGCACGCAGAAGAGAGTTGGTGACTATTAACACCCTTGATAGTGAAAGAACGAAGATTGGGAGTAGAAAGTGCAATTTTGTAAGCTTTTCTTTCACCAAATATGTTGTAACTGTACATTTTGATACTGAAAAGGGTAGCATTAGATATGCAGAGAATTTGTGAATCAATTTGCATGGAGCAATTTCGAAGGTACAAACTTTCTAACACACGACAGTTTGAAAAAGGCTCAACACACTCAGTATCATCAGTTGCAGTAAACTTAACACGTTCAAGATGCAGATTTTTTAAGTGAGGCAAGTGCAAAGAATTTGGAATAACTATCACATTTGGGTCATAAACATTACAAATCTTGAGGGATGTCAATGACCTACAACAAAAGATGAAAGGGAGGGAATCAAAAGCAGGTTTACAAGTTAAATCTATACGCATTGTCAAATGCTTGATATCATGAACCATAGCATATTTCATGATCAAGTCTAGGATTTCAGGCTCTTTTGGACTCATAACAGCAAGATTAAGCAGAGAATGAGAATGATCTCGACTAGACAAAACCCAAGACACAAATTTCCTAAAGCAAATGTCTCCACTGTATCGAGCACAAAATGTGAGACTAGTGAGACATTTGCAAAGATTCTTCCATCGTTTAGACAAAACACAAGTTTGAATAGCATTTCTTGTGCTCATAAAACTCATTATGTAGAGCAAAACACAATCAGGCAACTCACTGATCCTGTCTTTCTCATCTTCCCTACACCTTCTCTTCTGTGTCTGTCTCTTTCTTTTCATCACCAACTCTCCCTCAATTTGCTTGCGTTTTGGTGCCATCACTTTCTACTTTTTTCAGTTATACACTGTGCTTGCAGAAAGTGATAGCCAAAGGGTAATACGAGTTTGTGAAGAGCAAGACAATGTGTCTTTTATAGTGCATTTGCAAGCACTATGTACTGCAAAATTTGAATCATCCCACTGCATCAAAATCTATATTGGGAAGGTGGATTTTTTAATTTTCATTAATTTATTTTTTACTCAATATGTTAGTATGTTATTAAATTTTGTGGCAGTATTATTTATTGTAATCTACTATTTATTTATTTTTAAGTTTAATACCAATGTTTTATGAGTGTAAAAACATTTTTTCTTTCTTTTTCTGTGCATTGCCCTTACACTGGATTTTGATTAATAATGTTTATCAGTTTCTATTGAAAAAAAAACATAAATCCATAAATTAAAATGTTCTATCATGTATGTTTGGCGCTTTTTTTTTCATTCTTTTGGCAAGACATTTATAAAATAAATTTTAATTACTTAACATATTTGATAGAATATTTGCTTATATAATTTCATACATTAATTAATTTTTTAATTATTATATAATATATTGCATAAATTAACACATTATATATTAATTATACATAATAACATTAATTGATAATATTTATTCAAAGTGTCATTTTACTTTATATATATGTGTGTATATTGATAATACATAAACATATTAAAAAAGCAAGGTCTTTTAATAAATAAATAAATATATCAAAAGTATGGTAGGATATTTAATATAATAAAATTTAATGAAAAATATATACCACTGTGAAATTTACTGTTAAAATTAGTGTATACGTTATGAATATATAAGATAATGAAACTAAGTACAATGAAATAAGAAAAAAATTAATAATACAAAATATATAAAAGAAAGTAATGTTGAGAGAACATTAATTTAATGATTTTAAAAATATTAAGAGAATGTATACAACTTATTATTTATTTTTATTGATTATTGTCTGTAAATAATTGAAATTATAAACTGTAAAATTAATTGTTATTGATTATGTAAATAAGTGTATGTAATATAAAAGGTCAGGAAATTAAAGTATGATGATGATGTTAATAATAATAATAATAATAATTTATATTATAATTATTTTTTTATTAAAAGAATGTAATGTTGTATGTTTAATGTGATAAAATTTTAAAAATTAAGGGAAACATGAAGATATATACAACATTAAAATTGATTATTATAGATTATAAAAAATAAATATATGCAATATATAATATAATGATTTAAACATTATGAAATGAAGAAAAAAGAAGAAGCATAAGAAAGAAAGTAATGTTTGATTTTTCAATGTGTTAAAATTTGATGATTTAGAAAAGAAATATTAAGATAATGAAGCTATCCATTGACTATATATATTTGCAAATGTATTTTTATTTGTTGTATTTTTAAATGCACGCAATACTATAATTTTTATTCATTTCAGGTGATTAAGTTTATAATTAAAATTTGTGTTCTTATTTCAGTTTCAGTCAAGACAACAACAAAAAAAGTTTATATACACTTTTTAAAAGGTTTAAAAAAAGTTTAAGTTGTATTAGTCCAAAACTATTAAAATAAAAATATTAGTATATATTTAAAAACTAAATCAATAGAAAGTAATTAAATTTCAGAATATATATATATATATATATATATATATATTTAAACTATCTTTTTGAATATTATAGTTAGTTAAGACATACAAAGAAAATAACTATAAAAATAAACTTTTATAGAATGAAAAAAAAATTGTATTAATCACAAGATTACATAAATAAATTCCACTATTTTAATTATAGTTCAATGACCCAACTCAAACTCATGCAACTAATCATAGAATAAAAAAGACAAAACAAATTCAATAATTAAAAAATTTCATACATTTTCAATCTTTAACATCAACCAACCTAAACAACTCATAAAGTAAAACATCAAATACATCCTAAAAATATGTTATTCTAACATATCTTCATCATCAAAATAACTCCAAATAATAACATCATCATTGAACATTAATTTCTTTTAATTGAACTATATTATCTAACTTTCTCCAATTCTATAATCTACAATATTTACTTTCCTTCTTCACCACTAAGCAACATTTTCACATGATGATTAGCATATTCCATAATATAAAAACTTAGACAATATTAAAATCTCACATATACTTTTATGTGCAAAATATATTAAGTTATATATATATATATATATATATATATATATATATATAATTTGGTAAAATTGAAAAATAATAACAAATACTTTAAAAGTTTATAACATGAAAAAATATAAATAATAAACTTAGGATTTATTTGATCTAATTTTGTTTTTTAGTTTTTAAAAATGATTTTTAAGTTGAATTTAAAAAAAAAATTGAAAATATGTTGAAAATTTATTTTAAAAATAATATATATATATATATATATATAAATTTATTTTTAAAAGGGTCATAAAATAATTTTTTTAATAAAATGTGGAAAAAAAAATCTCGTCCTTCCGTCCTGTACACAATATTTGATTAAAAGTCAACAATTAATCATAATGTTTTTGCACTAATAAAATTTATATATAGGACCAAATAATTATATGGTGTTTTTTTATTCTTTTATATCATTCATATCTTGTAGTTATTAGAGGAACATTTAAAATGGTTTATAAGTATATATAATGTAGCTTCAAAATTATTTTTCTAAATATAGTAAGATGTAATAGTTTTTAATTAAGTCTTTATATCTTTGTTTTGGTTTTTTAAATATCAGAAATGTAAAAGAAAAAAATGATATTAAAAAAGTACTGGCAAATATTATTATGTTAGAAAGAAATGTTACAGAAAATGATTTATTCATGTGACATGTCTTAATGTTTAAATTCTCACTTTACAATTGGTTTTTCTCTGCCTACGATTCAGAATAACAAACTTTTATTCACATTTTGACATAAAAAGCTTCATTACTAATACCTCCAGTATTTCCTGTAATTGTTTTTTTTTTTTTATAAAACTTTACATAATTTATCATAAAATATGAAAATTTTATTTTATATAATTTTTTTATAAAAATCACAAAAAATATAAAAGAAACCTAATAATAATAATAATAATTATATTAGTGTATAAAATTTAGAGATGAATAGTGTATATAATACCCAAAAAAGTTGGTCATGTGTAACATAGCTTGACTAAACCAAACGTTGCTTTCCAAATATTTCTTTTTTTTTAATCCTTACAGAACCTGTCTACTTGTGTAGATTTTTATATATTTGTCCTTTATATAAACCTATTGTTTGTATCTGGATTTTTGTAGTAAATTTTCCTTGTTAATAAATAATTTTTCGTTTATTTTTGAAGACAAAAGTAAGGTCCCTCTTGAGCTTACATGTCCTTTTAGCTCATTTGTTTTCAGTTTTTGAATAATCTATTTCTCATGCAGATGATGATTTATATTATTGAGGATGGATCAGATAAGGAAACGATACATTTTTGTATGAACACTTGAACTTGGAAAGAAAAAGTTGTTTGGTACATGATAATTTACTTAAAACGTGATAATTTCTTTAAAGCACTTCACCACCACATGTTAAACCAAGAGTTTGAAGTGGAAAGAGAGCCTAAAAAATAGACTCTTACAGTCCAATTTCTTAATAATAATTTGACAAGATACAGATGAAAAATGAAAATACTGATAAGAACATCATAGCTAGTGAGATAATCAACATAGATTATATATGGACAAGTACATTACAAGTTCCTTCACCATACATGCAAAATGATCCTCATAAGTCCAAGCAACTTTCAAGTGATACATGTAAAATATATGTTTCTCTATTATACATATAAGAAAATGGCATACTAAGGCACCATTTTGGATTCTGGGAAGGTGATTAAGGAAAATAAAATCAAACTATGTCTTGCTTCTAAGTAAAATAATGCTACCCTTTCTAGTTATACTAGATCTGCTTTCCCTAGAGACTTCATATGATGCTGCTTATTTTCTTTCACTCAGTTATGAAGTGGGTTTGGTCCACCTGGAGTAGATGTATGTGAAACAGTATGAAATCCACTGACCTTGTTTTCTTTGATTTCAGCAGAATTAAAACTATGTTGGAATGAGGAAAAGGGGAACCTGGTTCTTGTTCTTTGCCCTTTGATCTCTTCCTTGACCCCCCTGGAAATGTGCCTGCAACTTGAAAGATGGAGCAGTATAACTAGCATGAAAAGAAGGAACACAATAATTAAGAGTGATCTAGATTTATGAACTCCCATGATTCCTGTATGACAAGAGAAAAAGGAGGAAGGTTAGGATGAAAACTTGGTTTAATAATATATTTAGAAAAGACGTGAGTTCCCTGTTCACAAAAATACTCAGAAATTAAATACTTGCATGTAGGTAGTTAGATGTGTTGTTTAGTGTATTTGCATACACATATACATACATACAGTGCAATCAATGAACTTGTGGTACTCAGTGTTGACACATGTGAACCAAATTATATCTCAATCATGCATTGGCCTAGCTAGTTGAATAATTGATGGTAATTGGTCACAGATACCGAAAAGATTAGGAGTAATATTACATGGACTTACCTATTCTTCTCACACTCCACTCAGTAAGTTACTGTAGACAATTTTAACACACTATAACTTTTTCAATGACTCTCAATGTTTCTGCACTGAATCTCACACACAGTGCAACTATCATTGTTCAACAGTTTATTAGTTGTTGGTTGTCCTAAGAGTAATGATTAAGATACTAAAAATTAAATTAAAGGTATAGTTAAAATCATGTAGTTCTTAACTGCTTAATCATTATCATGCAAGCAATTATTTTAAAAACATAACTTTTTCATAACTGGGTGGGATCTATGTTGGGAGTAATTTAAAAATTGTAAAAGAAATCACTTAAGAATCAAATGAAAAGGGTTATAAATTCCTGTAATTTGACTTTTTTTTTTTTTAAAGTGATGTAAATTTAAAATACACAAGATACTTGTTATTTACAAGAGC